CCCAGAACCGCTGTCTCTCGTCCCTGAGAGGTCCTGGAGGACGGGGAGAGCCAGGTGGCTGGAGGAGGCCAGTGCTGTCCCCATCCTCAAGAAGGGAGAAGGTGTGCCTGGGAACCGCAGACCAGTCAGCCTGATGGGAGTTCCATGAGGCAGACCAGTCAGCCCGATGAGAGTGCTGGCCTCCCTGGTGGACGGTGGGAACGGTGCGGTCCCAGTCCATCCCGACCAGCAGGGCTGCTGGCAAAGTGTCCCATGGTCTCCCGGTGGGAAAACTAGCAGAAAAGGGCCAGACGAGCAAGAATCAGTGAACTTAAATGGACAGGAAGGGGTGAATTGAATTCAGATGACCATCAGGTATACTACTGTGGGCAAGAATCCCTCACAAGAAATGGAGTAGCCTTCATAGTCAATAAAAGAGTAGGAAAAGCAGTACTGGGATGCAATCTCCAAAATGACAGAATGATCACAGTTTGAATCCAAGGCAAACCATTCAGCATCACAGTAGTCCAAGTCTATGCCCCAACCACTGGTGCTGAAGAGGCTGAAGTTGACCGGTTCTATGAAGGCCTACAACACCTTCTAGAATTAACTCCAAAAAATGATGTCCTTATCATTATGGGGGATTGGAATGCTAAAGTAGGAAGCCAAAAGGTAACCGGAATAACAGGCATGTTTGGGCTTGGAGTACAAAATGAAGAAGGGCACAGGCTTGCAGAATTTTACCAAGAGGACACGCTGGTCATAGCAAAGGCTCTTTTCCAACAACCCAAGAGATGACTCTACACATGGACATCACCAGACGGTCAACCCAGAAATCAGATTGACTATGTGCTCAGCAGCCAAAGATGGAGAAGCTCTATACAGTCAGTGAAAACTAGACCAGGGGCTGACTGTGGCTCAGATCATGAGCTTCTTGTCGCAAAATTTAGGCTTAAATTGAAGAAAGTAGGGAAAAGCACTAGGCCACTCAGGTATAACCTAAATCATACCCCTGATGAATATACTGTAGAGGTGACTAATAGGTTTAAGGAATTAGATCTGATACACAGAGTGCCTGAAGAACTATGGACGGAGGTTCGCAGCATTGTACAAGAGGGAGCATCTAAAACCATCCCAAAGAAAAAGAAATGCAAGAAAGCAAAATGGCTGTCTGAGGAAGCTTTACAAATAGCTGAGGAAAGAAGGGAAGCGAAAGGCAAGAGAGAAAAGGAAAGATACACCCAATTGACTGCAGAATTCCAGAGAATAGCTTGAAGAGATAAGAATGCCTTCTTCAATGAACAGTGCAAAGAAATAGAAGAAAACAATAGAATAGGGAGGACCAGTGATCTCTTCAAGAAAATTGGATATATGAAGGGAAGGATTCATGTAAAGATGGGCATGATAAAGGACCAAAATGGCAGGGATCTAACAGAGGCGGAAGAGATTAAGAAGAGGTGGCAAGATTACACAGAAGAACTATACAAGAAAGAGCTTAACATCCCTGATAACCACGATGGGGTGGTCACAGAGCTCGAGCCAGACGTCCTGGAATGTGAAGTCAAATGGGACTTAGAAAGTCTGAGCAACAACAAAACAGGTGGAGGCAACAATATTCAAAATTCTAAAAGATGCAAGTAAAAGTGCTATGCTGAATATGCCAGCAAATTTGGAAAACTCCACAGTGGCCACAGGATTGGAAAAGGTCAGTTTGCATTCCGATCCCAATGAAGGGCAATGCCAAAGAATGTTCAAACTAACGCACCATTGCACTCATTTCACACACTAGCAAAGTTATGCTCAAAATCCTACAAGCTGGGCTCCAGCAGCATGTGGACAGAGAACTACCAGAGAGGGAGGGGAACTATTGGATGGTGAATACCACAGGGGACAAAACCAAAGCCATGTGGATAAACTGAGAAGCCAACCAATAATTCCCAAGCACCACCTTCTAGAAAACTAAGATCATGGCATCCAGTCCTTTCACTTCCTGGCAAACAGATGGGGAAGAAATGGAGGTAGTGACAGATTTAATTTTCCTGGGCTCCAAGATCACCGCAGATGGGGACTGCATCCAAGAAATTAAAAGAAGCTTGCTCCTGGGAAGGAAAGCTATGGCAAATCTAGACAGCATACTAAAAAGCGGAGACATCACCCTGCCAACAAAAGTGTGTATAGTCAAGGCTGTGGTTTTCCCCTTTGCAATGCATGGCAGTGAAACTCTGGCAAACAGACTTGTCCTTTCCTGCTTTTGCCAGATCTCCGGGGTAGCGAAATGATGCTCCTTCTGCGTATGCTCAGAGGGCCAAGCAGAGGAAGGCAGGTGGAAGTGCAGGAACGCTGAGGCAGGGTCCATGGAAGGGGCCGGCAAGGCGCAGGAGCTGAGCCACGGTCTGCAGGGGACCTGCCTGGCGGAGGCAGCGCGGCAAGCCAGGAGAGCGCAGGGGCCAAGCGCAGCCAGGGGCAGGCGGGGAGCAGGTGCTGGGCCGCCCCTC